ACTTCAGTGTGTTCGTCCTGTGCCATTTCTCAGCACCTCGTTCACTAGACTGTGGAGGACTCATGTCATGCACCACGAGTCTCCTTAGAAATAACCGAGCTCATTTATTAAGAGCTTCAGTCGGCCGTTTATAAGCCTAAGTAAAAAACTCTGAATACATCATATTCACCAGCTGGGCGTTAATCCCAACTGGTGTATAATCCTTCTGGACTATAAGAAGAAACTCTGTTACTGGTAAGAATGGAGGAGCATCTTAATACAAATATAAATTTGAATGATGTTTTCTGATGTTTCTAATAAACAAAAGGTATTTTTTGTTTTAGTCAAATGCATCATTCGCTCTGCCGAGAGGGTGATTGGCTGCAATCTGCCGTCCTTCCAGGACTTGTTTGCTTCAAGAACCCTGAAGCGAGCAAGAAGGATTGTAGCCGACCCCTCTCACCCTGGACATGAACTGTTCGTGCCCCTTCCATCTGATAGGAGGCTGCGGTCCATCAGGACCAAGACCTCACGCCACACGAACAGTTTCGTCCCGTCGGCAGTCGGGCTCATTAACAAAGCCCGGGGCCCCCACTGACTGACTCTGACATCCCCAGGAAGATTTCCTACTGGCCACCCGCCATGCCACATTCCTTGTATGTGAAACATACATTGGCAATAAACGGTTCCGATTCTGATTCTGATATACTAGCATTTGCACTGACTAAGGGCTTCAAAGCCGACGTTGCTGTGGCAGAGCCTGGGAGCCTACTTTGAAGCGAACATTACAGAATATAGATCACGATGATAGCCATCAGCAGAGGGTCTGTCGTGAGTGATGTCTAAGCTGGTCCTCCTGGCATTACAATGACCCCAAACCCAGTCAAGATATGAGCTTACAGTTTAGAAATAATTCAAAGAGCAAATAAATGAGTCGCAATTACTGTTACAGAGAAAGAGCTCTTTCAGCAAAACTTTTCACAGTTTGGGATCAACAAACAAAAGCCAAATAAACATATTTAACCTGTGGGAACGGAAGAAACAGTATTTTCTCCTATTGGGTTACATCTATTTGGAAAAATGTTTCCATCTGTTATCAAGGATTTCATTTTGATATCACGACTCCTTATTCCTCCTCCTCATATTTGTTTCAAATAACTCTTAGAAAGTTAAATCCATCGGTTTTGTGTATGTGAGATAAATTTTACCTGTCAGCTTAGGACAGGACACAAGAGGTATAGCTTTAAAAGATATCTCAAGATTCTTAGACTAAGACGCTTGTAAAGTGTCATGTTACAAAAAGAGTCCCGACTACTTTTCTGTTCGTCTGTCTGTCTGTTTGTCGGTGGCTGAGCTCAGATGTCAGCTGGCATGAAGACATCTGCCCTGCCAGAGGACTAAAAGCCCTGGAAGCTCTTGATCCCAGAGGATACCACTTGTCTACTGATGACATGCTGGATACTGAGTACATCAGGCACTGAGTGAAGAAGCCCCGCTGGATATAAACAAGACAAAGAGCTTTAAAAAAGGACTTCAGCGCAAAAACCGAGACAAAACCACACACACACACACACACACACACACACACACACACGACAGGTACCCGGCAACACAAAATTCATCCATTGGTAATTAATCATTATAAATTATATATGTGAAGCAAAAGAAGCAGAGGTTTTTCTCAGACAAAATAAGCAACAAAACGTTCAGAAATAAATATCCCACTACATGAGCTTTGATTGACAGTGGCCAAGCAACAAGCCTGCGCCTGTTATTACCAATTGATTCAAATGTTGTTAAATCCTGATTGGTGCACAGAAGAACATGACTTCCCCTTTTTCAAACAATCGACTTCAACAAATGAGAAGAGCATAGAGGAAAAAATACAAAACACATGCTACATAACCTCTGGCAGAAAATGTGTTCATGTGGGACTCCTTCGCTCAGAAGAAGTTAGCTAATAAAATAGCTTTCAGAGTCTTTAAATACTTCATGTTGAATAATTAAGTTGGTGTAGGCTTTTTATATTTTTTATTTGCACTCTATATACTTGTACTCCTTACTTTGTACTGCAACAATTACCTCGAGGTAAATAAAGTTCCATCTTATCTTAAGTGCCATCAAATGTTACAACACGTACAACACTTGGTTAAAAATGATGCTGTCTGGAAAGTAATTTACACAAATACAAAGTCAATATCTTCAGAAGTCTCAATCAGTCACTTCAAATGAAACAACCTTGAAATGATCTATCCTACAGTATGATGGTATGGTTCGGGAAGTATGAAGCTGAGGCCGGTGAGCCATTCAAATAAATGAGACAGTAATTATTGTTTTACACATCGCTGAGACAGAATGCCACTAAAAAAGCAAAACAGATGACAGCTCCAGACAACTATTGAGCACAAGGCAGTAATTGGCCCCTCTGAACAACATAAACACACCAATTGCTGTAAACAAATACCCACGAACCACATGAAAAGCTCTTCAAGGAGCGATCACCACATGCGACTACAGAGGAACGCCAACGTTGACATCTAAAGTAATTAAATGATGAGTGTGGTTCCACGCATTCATCCTCAGCAACATCCTCCACTGTGGCTTCAGCTTTTACGTAAACACGACGAGAGAACGAGCTGCGACTGACAGTTGTGTGCAGCATGAGGACCGCAGCAGTAACTCAATTAGAACGGCGGCTCGTGTGAGGAGCGCGCTCTCGTCTACACAAAAAGGTTATTTATCTGTGGCGCAAGAATGTGACAGTTACAACAAAGTGGTATTAGCCTGACCACCACAGAGCATTCTTCAGTTGAACTATATATCAGAGCCGTCACTCAGTTAAAAGAGTCATTCATTAGAAGTGATGTTATGGCTCTTTCTCTGATGAGTCACTTTGTACTCAGCCTGCAGTTTATTCTCTTTGCCCTCAGGACTCATGACACTGAAGTGACCTGCATTTGGCGCATGCAGGACCTCAGAAGAGGGACAGCTGTGAGTGTAATCCTGCCTGCGTCCGACACCTATAACCCCAAATGTTACATCAGTGACAGCCCCACGCCCTTCATCCAGCAGCCCATTCTATGCCAATCACAAGGCAATATAACTGCCAGATAGTTTACGGACTGATAGCCTCCAATAGAGGGAGGGTCAAGGCGTGGGGGTCTGCTGCATAGCCCTCCACCAGCAAGGGCCCCTAGGTACCCATTGATGACAGATATTATTCACAATGCAGAACAATGTGGCGGATCTCAGTGGGTGGAAAAGGGGGGGGGGGAATGTATGAGCTGATATCAAACAGTGAAGCTCAGGGGATGCCTGGCTGCAAAACCGAAAGGATGGGAACTATATAGTGATTGGAAAGATGGTGGAGTCAACATACCTTGAACTACAATTGGCTTTACTAGCGTTGTTTTCACCAAATGTTGTCTTATTTAGCTTCTTCTCTAGCACCTCTGGTGTTAGAAACACAACAGAATATAATCAAGTGTCAGACAAATATTGTATCATCCAGGATTTATGTTTTATTTGATCATTTAAAAATGAGAAGTTAAACAAAAGCATTAAAACGTGGCAACGGCATGAGTAAAACTGGAGTTTTGACAGCACTGTATATTTTGTAAAGCCAAAAGTGAAAAGTGTTTTCATTTGATTCAATTTAATTATATATGTCTCAACTGATTTTTTTCCTTCCAATAAATGTATTTGATGTGTAAATGTTAGCAATGGTTTTGAAGTCAGACACAAGAACTCATCTTCCGTATCTCATCAGATATTAGGAACACAGAAGCTACACCAATAAATAAGATAGTGTTTTCTTTCCTCTTTTCTTTTTCTTTGTTTCCTGATATACGGAGCATCCATACCAACAGCTTTGTCATTTCTTCTTGTATCTGTCATGGATCAGTTAACAGACACATAATTGCACACACCTGTCTATTTCAATGGTCTTTCATTTACTGCTGATGGTCGAAGGAGTTTGAAAGACTCCTTATTACCATAATAGAGGAATCGATTGCACCAATTGCAATTTAAGTGTATTTACTCTCGTCAAGAGACCTTAGAATGTTGCTGGTCAAAAATAGCAACCAATAGTCTTAAGCAACACCTAAATGGGCATGTGTGTTGGGTCCACCGTCCTTAGAATTAAGTATTTTATTCAAGCATGAAGTAATCAGAAGTAAGCCTGGTCAGCTTAGCTACCACAGAAAGCTCTGATCATATAGACGGGCTGTCAGTGCTGCAAGTCCCAAAGCTTGATCATAAGTCCTTCAACAGGAGGTGAAGGTATAGCTAAAGGTGATAGAGATGAATTTGGAGCTCCTGGATGCTGGACAGAGAGCATTAAGTTAGGACAGACCACCGGGACAAAAGGAGAGCATCATTTTCAATTGTCACCGCAGTTTGAACTTGACTTATGCAACAGAGTGTCCAGGAGGGCCTAATTTTATGGACCGGTGGATGATTCTGGTAAAAAAAAAATGTTGACACCAGAGGAATTTCCTGTCGTGTGGTGTTATCAGAAAAACAACAGAGTCCTCCGCTGTTTTACTTCAACAGCTCAAATTCAACAATGGAGATGCTGATAAAATGCTTGGGCTGCTGGCAAAGGAGCCAACTGCTGATGTGAGGAGATTTTCATTCACTTGTAGAGGAAGGCGATCACTCAAAGTTCAGTGGGGAGGCTTGGAGACTGAAATAGAGCAGAATTGTAGGATCCAGCAAAGGGCCAAAAAATATGTTTCAATGTGTCTGTGAAGGCTTTTATTGTAACTACATACTGTATCCATTGACAGTAATGGAAAATGGACGTGTGTAAAAGCTCTGTATAATTGTGCAGTGTGTGACAGTATTTTTTACATGATTCTCTTAGGGACGTTAATTCTTACACTCTCATACCAAAAAATAGCTAGAATGGCAGATAAAAAAATAAAAGTACAAAGAAGGGTCAAAGAAAGAAATAGAGATCAAACAAATGAAAAGAGATTCTGAATATGAAACACAGTCAGGATGTTTCTACTCACCATACTGGCAGCTGGGTCCGTTGAACCCTGCAGGACAGTCACAAAGCTGAGTAGACCCGACCCGACACTGGCCCCCATTGAAGCACACACCGTAGCTACACACAGCTGCACGTGTGGATGTGGACAGACAGGATGGTAGAAAAAGAGGACATAAAAAAAATAGTAAGTGAAGCAGAGACACCTGGCTGTTATCATGAGATGTCAACATCTTCAGTTTCAAACGATGACCTCTTTCTATCAAAGCCTTATCATCGGCATGTTCGCTCCTGACTAAAGAGGAACCTTGATTCTCCTCCATTCACACTATCCAATGTAAGAGGAATCCACCACTTGGCTCTCTTGGAGCTGAGGCGCAGGCTTTTGGCTAAGTGAAAGACATTTCTACACTCCATTTTTAAACTCCATTTTTACAGAATCAGAGAGTTTAAAATGAGTGGCGGCAACAGCTTGCATGACTTTTAAAGGAAAAGTGGCCCCTTTACTGCACGGTAGTTACCTGAGAATGACCTGATTGATTAATTAACTGAACTTTGATCATTGTTGCAAACAGTGGGTGAATCATGGGATAAAATCAGAGAGCCACAGGGTGAGCGTGGCTCATCCATCTCTTGAAGCCTGCGGCCCTGTCTCCATAAATCCCTGTACTGCTCACGCTAGTTAAGACGGTTTATTCAATGAATCCAGGACATATAAACTAGGTAGCTTTAAACATGTGAATCCACCTCAGAGGTGAACCATCACATTCCCTATGCTAACAAGACTCACATAAATCATGACAGTCCTTCACCTAAAAATGTGTGTGTGCTGAAGTCTCGCTGCCTGTGTTCTTATCTGACGTGCGTCGAGGCTAATATTCCTAAGTAAGACACAGCTGTTTAAGCCAGGCCTGTTGTTTGCACTCTCCTGAGCAGAGTACAGTGTTTAGTGCCGACAGATCCAGAGGATTGATGTCTATCATTGCTTTTCCTGACTGGCAACATGAGGATTGAGTGAAGAAAGCCTCCGAATGCCAGTTTAACTGTGCGTCTTCGGCCAGATATGTATTTTTCTGCAGATCTAATGCAACAAGAGCCGGCATGGTCACCCATCACACCAGGCCCTACCAGTTCTGATGCCAATGCCTCTAATCAATGTGCGCAGGACAGCTCACACAGAAATGAGCCAGGTTTCCCTTCAACTGTCAAGGTAATTTGACGCGTTTCCATCAACTGCTTTGGAGCGATTAAACTAGGCTACAGTGTAGTTTGGTCAGAAGTTGGAGCTATAGGCTAAGCAAGACTGTAATCCACTAGTAATCAGAAGAAGTAAAGGTTGCGAACCAGAAACCTAACAAGTCGGCTTGGCTAACTCATTTACAAGAGAAAAATGGAGAGAGATCTTCAGGAATTTGTATCAGTTGAGAACGTCTTAATTGTTGGACTACTATTGGCCATGATTCATGTTTCGTCTGGAGACGAAGACGAGCATTAAGTTAATATCCGAGAAGATGCTGACAGTGGAAACAGCTGATCAGTAATGCGAGTTAAATGTTCACTATGCTATTATTAAAGTTTTATTGAATTTTTACGTGTTCAGCTTTTCTGATGCAATATTTCAACATGAGCATAGAAATAAGTGAATGGAAACACGGCTAGTGTGAATTTAAAATAACCCGTTGCCCTTTTCTTGCCTTCAGTATCACTTGAACCCTTCATTGTGTCTGCATGTGGAGTGCAGCAAATGTAATGTTTTCAATTCAGCTTTTGGCTTATTCAATAGTTGTCTGTATTTATGGCATTATGTTGCCCCTTTTTGTCGCTTCACATATGTTAAGATTTGCTGCTTTTTTCTATTCTATGTGGATGAGACAAGAGAAATAGAATTGAATACATCTTGAGGTCTGGGAAATTGTGACGGCCATTTTAAAGTAATTTCAGACATTTTATGGACTACATTAGAAAGAAAACATTAGCTGCAGCCCTACTTGTATCCACCCCAGATACTTTAAACTGAGATGCAATTAAAAGGTACAACATATCAGCTAAGAAACAAAAAGACGCTTCAGGCTGTGAAAATAAAAACATATTAAAGAATATCTACAGCCTGGCTTCAACCGTATCGTGTAAGCAGAGGGGAATAACATATCATTTCTATGACGAAGTGCTCTCTAATAATCACAGATGAGCCCGGAGTAATTTCATCCGGTAGATTCACAGGGCTCCTTGGAGACCGGCACTCAGTCTAAACATCCGCCTGTCATCTGGTTTCATCCTCAGACACCTGCTCGACAGTTGGACCATCCAGGGAGTCTACACGCACACACAACCTAAAACAGACATCAAGGCTATTTGTCACTTGTTGACTCTAAAATAAAACACCCCAGCAAACATCAGCGGTTCCCCAAACTGATGCACATTGTCAAATACATCCATGTTCTTGTTCTGCATACCTATAAGACCAAAGTCTTTCCCTGTTTGTGAAGCCGCTGAAATCCTACTCCAACAGGAAGACCATCTCACCGCTGCTAATCTGTCCATGATGACTTCCAGTACCTCAAGACTGTGTGGCTACAGAAGCTATAATTCACTGTATTAGTTCAACATACATAACTACCCCCACTTCTGTGATTATCTAATGTGAGGGAATGATGGTGTGGTGAAAGCTACAGATGACAGACGAGCAGAAGAAAAGAAGAAAAACATAATTCAGTGGTCAGGTTTAATTGCAAAAAGATCCAAATTCTTCAGTACAATTATGTTACCACCAGCTGTGAGAGATTATTGAGACATTACTAAATTGTGGTAAAAAAAAATCTTAAATTAACTTAATTACCAGCTACAAAGTAAAAGGTCAGATGTCTCTCAGAGTCAATTCTGGGTAGTATGGCTAAGTGACAACCAGGGGAATGTACATTCCCCCTTCTGAGATGTGAGACACACAGGATTGTTGGCAGCTAACCGGGGCATTTTTGGGCCGCCCCCATCCTGAGCTCCTTACGCTGCTTAATCTTCCCTGAAATCATTTCTTAATGTGCCATGCAGCGCGGCATAAAACTCACTCTCATCTGTCGCTGGGAATGTCTCCACTCTATTACAAAGACACCGTCTTCGAGAGGATTAGCAGCTCCCACCAAAAAAAAGAGACAGAAGACGCAGGGGTCAGCGACTCGTGCCGAGAAACTGAAAAACAACGAGCAGGTGTCACCCTTACAGCTTGTGAGGGGGCCCAACCACATCAGCGTAGAGACAGCCCAGTGTTTGTTTAGGCTCCGTCAGATCTGTTTAACCCCTGGAGTGCGACCCAGAGGGTGACCACATTTAGGGCAATTCACAGACACAAAGGCCAGCGCTCGGGGCTCCGTTTGGTGCCACAATTGGTACGCATTGAGCCGAGCACTGTATTTTGAGGCAACAAATCATGTTTTGCTGTGCAAAGGAATGTGTCATTTCAAAGAGTTTGCGTGAAAACCAGGGTCAGCTATGTTAGATGATCTCTGACAGTTTTCTTTGAAAGACTCTAAATACCATTTGAACCACACGCTAGGTCGGTTTGACAAAGCAGGCACAGTAACGCTTTGCAAAGAAATGTCTGAGCATGCACAACCTTGCAATTAGAATATCTGGGGCATCCCTACATTATTCATGTGTAAATGACACAGACTCCTGCGAGGGAAATACATTTTCATCCTTATTTCCAACTATGTGGATGAGAATATTGACATTTAGTCACATCACAAAGAGTATGCACGAATAAAAAACACCTGTCGTGGTCATCATTTGCCTCGTACGTTTCCGCTCTTTTACTCGCTCTAATGCAACAGAGATGTGGATTAAACATGATAATGGCATGCATGTCACTCAGACCAAATAGGAATCAAATAACACAAATGTTAAAAACAAGCAGCTTGTTCATACTTTGTATAAGCTACTGGCTCACGTGACTAAATTCACCGTTCCACAAAAAAAAACCACATCTGCATCTAGACAGGAAGTCATGTGATTGCTTTAGCTCCTTGTGTCTACTTCCTGTCTTTGACAGTCATGTTTGCTCGCCAGAATCATACTAGAATAAATGTGATTCTACAATTTGTTCCTATTGCAAGTTCTTCCAGCTAGCAAACAGACCTCAGGATGTCGAGAGTAAACTAATAATTTGGGAACAGTAGTCCCACAAAATGTGGCAGCTTCAATTTGTTTTTAGTATCATGCTGACCTTACAACCTCTGCTGCACATTACTCATTAGATTAAAAAGAAAAACACGCATGTCAGTGTAACCAGAGGCCGTGTTTTGATAGAAACTAAACCACCACTGTTTTTGCTGTTTTATGCATAATGTTATGTCTAARGTTGATTTCTGTATTTTTCTCTGTATGAGTCTGGATCTTATTGTGATCAGCTATGCACGATACCGTCTCCACACACACACACACACACACACACACACACACACACACACACACACACACACACACAGAGATAGACAGAGGACCATTTCCTCTTCTCTGGCTACTGTGCCTATTTCACATGTAGCTACCTTCGCCTGCCTGCTTCAACCACAAAAGGGGGCCAGTTCCTCTTCAGGAGTTAACGAGGACGACAAACTGGAGGAGACATTGTCACTGCCCCTCAGCCCCTGTCACAAAGCTTATTGTTGCCGTCAATCAACATAACTGCTCGTTTCCACTCCCGCCTAACCCCGTCCATCCTCACTCGGCCCGTGGCTCCTTGCTGAGGTAAAAGGTTTAACTCACTGATTGAGTGGTCCTCCAAATGTTTAATTGGAGGAAGTCGCCATCACAAAGTCAAGAGTTCTTCACCTTCAGGAGAGCAAGATAGTCTTGAGCCAATTGGAGTCTTTACAAAACACACAAACGTCACCGCTGTTTTCTTTTTTTTTTTTAAAAGGCCTTCTGCCTCCACAAGTCACCTGGCTGAATTTCTTTCGACTAGAAGTCATTAGATGTATTGTAAAAACATTGAATAGATGTGGCTCTCTAATATAACAGAAAATCAATCTGCAACTATTTTGATAAGTTAATCATTTAAGGAATTTCTTAAGCAAAAATGTCAACCATTCTCTGGTTGCAGCTTCTCCAAGGTAAGGATTTGCTGCATTTCTATATTGTCTTTGCGCAATAATGCTGGAAAACATCCGAACTTGGACACAAAAACCATAAATCAATGCTATTGTCTCAATGGAAAACTCATAAACCGTTATAATTAGATGATGGTAGCCTGAAACAAAAAGATATGGTAAACAAGGTCGGGGCCAAAATAGCAAAAAATAACCAGACGTTTGCTGTGCTGTGCTATATTCTCTCTCCAAACATGTGACTGATTATAATGAGCAAAGACTGCTGGAGAGCACAACAACTGAGGCCATTCACTGCAAGACTGTGACAGGATGTCAACATCTGTACAATGGGTGGATATAGAGGCAGAAGAGAATCACAGGTGAACTATAGGAAGGACAAACTACTCGACTTTTAGCCACTTCCAAGCCACTGTGTGGACAACATGATTAGAGGCCCAATTCTGCTCAACTACCTCACAATAGCCAGAAGCCATTCGCCTAATTACCTTACACTGACATTTTATTAGGGAACACACACACGGAGAAAGAGGAAGAGGGACAACACAAGACGGAGGGAAAACTCAGGAGTGCTAGACACTAAATCACTATCTCAAACACAAAGCATTCCCATCTTCCCAATCTCCCTTTCTTCTGGGGTTTTTTGGGGGGATTTGCTAAAGCTGTACATTCTGCAGAGCAGATTCTTCTTTTTGGATGTTGGAGGCGCTGTTGAAAACAGCCCCACAGATTGCATTGTGCTGACTGAGGTACAGTACAGATAGTGCATAGCAAAGTGCACAGGAGTGGGAGAGGGAGGATTGTGGTGTGAGCTTCCTTTTATCCTGGTTCAATGGCTCAGAGAAAAGGGTGATTAGTTTGTCCCATCTCAAAGTGCTGCCACGCCTTTGGTTACAGAGATAAAAGCCCTGCCTCGCGTCGAAGAGGGCAGCCATTGTCACGTGGAAAAAAGAGAAACAAAACCTCCTGTCTACTTAAGTGAGGGGAAACACTGGACAGTCCTGAGGAATGCATTTATAAGAAATTTCTTTATGGGAGTTTTAAAACAAACCAAACTCATTGCAGAGCAGACAGTGTGATGCTTCTTTGTACTGTATAATTTAATACCATAACCTTCTCTGTGGAAACAAAGAGCCCTTTGAAGAGAACATAAATGCCATAATAAGACACCGATGACAGGCACATCCAGGAGATCTTCTCTCGCTCCACATCCCAGCCACTTCCCATCTGAGGGCTTTCCCGGACATGTAATGGGCCTGTACTACTGGTGTCAGCACTGGCCATTGAGCACGCGGGTCAGTTCCAGGTAGAGCAATGAGAGTAAGGAAGTGGGAACTTTCGTGTCAGTCAACCGGACAGGGGACAAACTATTTACAGGAAGGCTTTGCCAAGGGTCTGTCTATGGTATGCAGGCTATGTGCTCTGGATCACTGGCTGTGAAATCCCATCAAAGGAGGCTTCTTGGTCTCAGCGGTGTGAAGCTAAGCTTATCCACAAGGAGATGAGCTACTGGCAGCCCCAGTGTGACCAACAGAACTACTCTTCCATACATGGACCCGTGGATTGGAATTTACAGAGGGGAGATTCATATTTGTTTTCCTTTGTTTTTTTGTGCATATCAGCAGGTGGTCTCCCCACCATGACTTGATGGGTATTGTTTTGGGGGCCTTGACTGTGGTTGGTTGGGGTAAACATCCTCTGACCTGCACTGCCATGTCACACGTCTGAATGAGAAGAGTGGCATGACTATATGGTGGAGAGCCAACATTTAAACATGGGACCACAGCTAGAGGGGCAATGGGGTCCGTTTGGAGTTTCAATGTATTAAAGTAAATATCCCGCCTAGTAGAAGCTGTCTGCCAGACAAACTATCTGTTTAAAACTAAAGGAGCACTACAGAGCCATGACCTCACCTGAATCGTAATTGTTTTTTGCTGAGAGTAGAACAAGAAACTACAACGCAAACCTCTTTTGAGAGCGAATGTCAACACTTAAAGTCTTTCAACACTTGAGATTTTTTTTCCCACCGTCCACATCTAAACCTTGTGGGACTGTTGTAAGAACACAAGTAGTTAGGACATGGCACTGACTGATAACATCTGCTTAGGCGTCTGGATGGGCAAAGCATCTCTTGACCCTTTTGACCTTTTTCTGAAAACCTTTCATTCGGAGGTCTGTGCCAAGGGTGAGGTGATGTTTGAAGCACCCTTCCTCCTGCTGAGTCAGGAAAAGACATATTGCCTTTCAGTAAACATACCTAACCGCAAACCTGATAAATTAGATTTTTCCAATTGAAGAGGTAGAAAGTAGTAAAATCTGGATAGTTGAGGATACTTACGATACAGACAGCCTGCTTCTCCATTAAGTTGAGACCATCCAGGGCAACACTTGTACACAGTCTGATAATCCTGTCTGTAGACTTGTCTGTATGCAGTGTAGTACGCTGTCCTGTTAACATGACAAACATCAGGTTAAAAACTTCCAATCGAACCTGTTGAAGTTATAAAACAAATACAACAAGAACTGACAAAATGCAGGGTTTCTTGTTGTACTCCACTGTAAAACAGTAGTGTGTGAGTGAACGTGTGTACGGTATTTACAAAGGGATTATCTGACATATCACATGTCATTTTTAATGTTTCATGTGGTTGAATACCATGAGATTAGGAAAAACAAACATGTAATCTGATCAAATGACTCACAGCCTTTTAAGTGACACACAGTATGATGTTCAGCAAACATTTTCCCAGACTTTTAAGGCGCCATTTTATAGTGAGACTGGCAGAGTCAACTTCAGAGGACGGTGCCTATCCCTGTACTTTGGGACCCCTCTCATTGCTCCACGGCCATTACGCATTGTGGAAACACGTTTTTGTTTAAAGCGAGTAATTGTGGCTTTGGATACCTTCAAAGCAGCCTTTGACTTTGTAACACGGTAAATAACGACGTGAAAGCGAGCGTGAGCAGCAAAGTGAGAAAAAGTTAGGCTAAAATGTTAGCATTGGGACGCTCCATCACAGGAATGCTGGCTGCAAAGACGCCTGGGTGTTAAATAGCTGGTAACCCCGATGAAGAGGGGTCGCACCTTGCACTTAACTGTGTGAGAGGTTCAAAGCTGCGATTACAGAACAAGAGCGAGAGAGACTGAGAGGAAAGAGGAAGTCAAGGAGCTCATCGTTTGATTCTGTTTGGAGGTGGAGTCAAATGAAGGATCACACCCGCTCTGATAGATTCTTGCATGACTCATGAAGACATAATTAATGCTTTGCACTAGCCAGAGATTAATCAGCAAAGCACTACATCCACTGCGGGTGAAGATGGGAGTGTTTTTGTGTCGAAAGACAACAAATGAGAGGCATTACTCACCTCCTCTCGTATCCCATGCACCATGACTGTCCTACACAGCCTTGCTTCCACACTTTAACCATGCGTGTGAAGGCCTGCACACACGGCTGCCTCTGGGCGACCAGCGTCACCTCCCTCTCCACACACACATTGGGCCTGAAACGAAAGCAGTGATGAAAACACTTAAGGTGTCAAAATGTTTTTACAGATGTACAGATGGCAGCGGGGCAATTTATGAATGCTGTGAGAAACGTTGCAGTAAAGACAGATGGACAAAGCTTACAAGGCATTTTCTAGTAATGCCTGTGAAGGCATTACCTGTGCTGAGGTGTAAGGCTGCTTATGATGGTATTTTTTAAGACTTAAGGGGAATTCCTCATACATTATCTTTCAGAACTCTAAGCCGCACAAGATGCTACCTGCAGTTTAACCTAAACTCAGTACTCATCTGAAATTGTTTCCTGAAAGTCTTTTAGAGGGTGGCATTGGCATGAAAGTGGCAAGGATTTCCTGTTATTTCATATCTTCTACTCCAAATGTAAAGAGAAACTACATTTCCAGTTACTAAAGTTAAAATGTTTTAGATGTGAACCACTGGTTTTCTAGGAAACAAAAACATATGATGTACAACGTCTGTAAACAGTAACCACTTCACTGCACAATATTTTCAAAATAACACAAAAACATGCCACAATTTTCCAGACAATTCACACAAGACATTTAGTGTTTTCACTGGACATACGGTAGAATGTGCATGTTTTCACTTGTACGTACGAGACTGAATGTCAGCAGAAACAGGAGACATTTTTCGCCCCCAGGTGAAACACGACAAGCCTTTCTAATTGTGATGTTTTGTCCTCCTTACGCAAAGTGCGCCCGGGTTAACAGGCAAACCTGCCACTGACGTCTTTCACATCACTTGCTGCAGCGTACAGAGGAGCCTCGTCAAAAAAAGCTCATCGTGATCTTTGAAACATTTACTCCGTTGGTAACACTCCAAGGACAGACAGACAGACGGGCTCTGCATACGGAGATCAGCAGGAATCTTAAGACAACATCGAGCTGCTCTTCTCATAAACGATAGTAATCACGATCACTTCACAAAACTGAAAGACCTTATTGTAAGAGACCGGCAACAGCAGAGAATATTCTCTCACATAATTCAAGCTCCTTCATATATGTTTAAAATACTGGCTCTTCGCTGTGAGGGGCTTCAAACTAACAGGAATGCAGTACAGACTATCCACATGGAGCTAATGTATAATCATGTTAATTACAGTGATATGGCATGGAAGCCAATAAAGCCCATGATGAGAGTGCACAACAGTTAATTGAATCATCCAGCATCTACAAAATAGTTCACCCAGCTGGGATACCTCTAGCCATAACAAAGAAAAAAAAAAAAAAACTTCACAAGACTCAGTTTTCTGCCTCTGGTTGAGTCTTAAGACACACGTTTTTGAATGTGCAGGTGAACTAGCAGTTTTCTCAAACTCCAAAGCGAATGTGAGTCTGTAAAAATATCGTAGGCAAGATGAAGAGTAAACATCATCCCTAAAGAAACAGTGTAGCCTACTAATAAAATAGAAGTAAGTTAAACAGCCGATAAGCAACAACACATAGGAATAAAAAAGGTAACTCACATATAAGGTTGGAGATTGTTGGTGATGCCATAACGCAATGCATGAGCCTCTATAATAAATATTAGGAAAAAGGAAAAAATAACACTAGTATCCATGATTCTTCTTCTTGGATCAGTTTTAAAAATGTAATAAATATCTCGTTAACTCATTCATGAGTATTACTCAGGTGAGTATCTCTAACCGGTTTAACCATTAAAAAACGTAACCTAATAAATAACCAAATAAAAAAATCCGAGCGCTTAACTGGGAGAAACTTGAAAAGCGCATAAAGTATCTTCCGCGTGGAAATGATCAGCGCGTTCCAAAAAAATGACCTATAGCCATCACATGCGGTGCGTTTTGTCGCTTGCAGCCGGTGTGTGTGACACTGACGGAAAACTGCAGCTCACCGACGCTCCTTCACTGCACATGTTGGACTGGCGGGCACGAAGTCGTGGAGGCTGAGCGCTTTCTGCCTCCCTCCATTGACTTGGTAATGATGGCAGGGGTTTGGGAGGGGGAGGATGGAAAGGATGTCATTTATTATTCAGAGCTTCAGCAGCTTCTGAAACACGCACACTAGACACCCTGCAGTCTGCAAAGGGCACTCACACGCGGGGACATCGGAGGTTTCTTTGGGTCCAGATTTTGTTTTGGACGTCGCATCAAACGTTCCTCTTAACAGTGATTTTTAGTGCTCTTGTCTCACTCCTGCATCATTTACTGCAGTCATTTCAAGTGTTTTAAAAACGGACCAACGCAACGCCGATAACAACTTTAGCCTAACTGTAATATTTATATTAAGACTTACACTATACATTTACTTTTTGCATGCAGATATTCAATCCTTTCAACAATATTGCATTGATCTAGTTCAATGTGCGCGTATTGATGAAAACAAAGCTCGCGGAGCTGAGAAATGAGCGCACATGGAGAGCAACATGTGCGCAAAGGGATCTAGAAAAACGGAGTGATATACTATCACGCGCGGAGCAACAGAGGATGTTTGGGGTTGAGTCTGAAGCAGCTCGTGGTCACTCTGCGGGGCAAACCGCTGATGGTGCGGTCACAGGGTCAGCCGCCAAGACCGACTACTGCTGCTCTCCAAACAAAGGCTTCATTGCGCGCATGTGTGTTCATGACCCTAAAGAGTCCTGGGTCACCGCTTGTACTACCAGCTCCACAGCATGTTGTTTGAATTAGATCGGATGCTCTTAGACATATCGGAACTCATCTGAGATATTTGGTGTAACATGTATTGACATGTTACACCAAATCTATTGACATCATGAATGCTAAATAAACATATATATTCAAAGAAAGAAGGAAAATTACTCCCAGAGGAAAAGCTTTTTTGGGAGAACATTCTTAAAGGTTCTGATTGGAAAAGAGCTCAGCTATTACCATATGCATTCTGTAGACGATATATATATCTATATATATATATATATATATATATTAAAGATATAATAAGATTAAAGACAAAGCCACATTTTACACATATATAATATATATCCAGACAATTTATATTTCTCCAGATTTCATAGAAGATTGTAATACCTTCAATATCTTTATGGTTACATGGTGGACATTCTTAAACAAATGTGTTTAATCAAACTATTGAACTTACAGCAAACCTTGGGTTTTATTCTAGTGTAGAGACACTTGGTTTCTTAGACTCTGGGAGCTTACAAAGGCTTCATATGAAAGGTTCTTTATCCAGGATGCACTGGAAAAACTATACATTTTAATGTTTACGTTACCGTATCAGTTTATCATGTATGCAGTCTGCACATTGATGGATGCAGGAGAAACCCATGAGCACAGTTTGTAGAAATGTGTGGTAATTTACTGACACCTTGTGGTTAAAGTTAAGAACTACATGCTACATCCAGCTAGAGTGACAACCGCTGCACAAATGATGCAACGAAGAAACTTGAAAAAATATTAACTTACATGTCCAGAACAACAGGAATTGGTCACAGAACACGCACTTTGCACTGCCTGAACTACAGCCAAGCAAATAAGACAAATATGCGACGTTACTCAGTCGACACATGTTGCGTTTTAAACCGGTTGAGTAATTTTACGACGCTCCCATACGACGCTTCCAACGACCTTTAACCCCTAGACGCCTGCAAGCTAGTAGCTGCATTGTAGCATGCAGTGGGTAATGACAGGAAGGCTGTGCACACTTGGACAGAGTCACATTATCAGAGACGTGCTCACTCAGTTGCCGAGGTTTGTGTCTCGTCGAAACATGTCGTCGTGTCAAACTAAACGGCCGGTTTCCTTACTGGGAACTATGGCGTTCGGTGGACGAGCCGACGCCGAGCAGAGCCTGGACATGGTGAAGACGTTCCTGGACAGGGGACACAACCGGGTGGACACAGCCTTCATGTATATGGATGGCAAGTCGGAGACGATCATAGGGGGCATGAATCTTCCGAAAACAGGTATATCAGAAGCTCCCATATCCGCAATGACCCTGCGCTAACATTAACCGCTCTGCAAAAGTGGACCAACCAAGTTGCTACTGATTATGTGACTGTTGGTTCCCCATGGCCCGGTTGGCACCAGCTTGGAATCATGGGTACCAAAACTGGCCCAGGCTCCCCTTTTACCAGCGACTAACGTTAGCCAGCGCTGGGCAATGTTTTATGACTTTTTCACGGATCAAACGTTTTAATTTTGAGCTTATTGCATTTATAAGGGACCATGTACAATATTTAAGACGCATGTTACCATTTTTATTTACTAGAGCAGTGGTGAAAAGTAACTAAGTACATTTACTCAAGTTATGTTACTGTCCTTAAGTACAATTTTGAGGTACTTGTATTTCCATTTCCCACTACTTTTATATTGCATTTTTCACTTCACTGCATTTATCTAATAATTCGAATTAATTTGCCGATTTAGATTATTAATAGAAAATACAATCGACAAGTAAATCAATGATGTAATATTATAGGTTAAGATGCATCTTTACTGATTCCTGGAGTGAGATCCACAATGTACCCAGCGGTTAAAGTATATAAAGTAGTTGAAATGAGCTCCACCTTTATCAGCTGAAACATTACATTGAGTAAGATGAGCTAGTTTTCATCTGCAGTCACTTTCCACAGTAAAAAAACACTTCCACACACATCCCGTAAATAAATGACATTTTACATTTAATTAATTGTTTCTGTGTAACAGTAAGCATGGCGACCAAGGCCAACCCCTGGGATGGGAAGACGCTGAAGCCGGAGAGTGTGCGCTCTCAGCTGGAAACCTCCCTTCAGAGGCTGCAAACTGATTGTGTGGACCTTTTCTACCTCCATGCCCCGGACCACCAGAACCCAATCCAGGACACCCTTAGGGCCTGCAATGAGCTCCACAAAGAGGCAAAGAGACCAGATACCTCACTCTCTATGACTTGTCATTTCAAACACACTTGATAATGTTTTATTACATTTCTAATTCATTGTGAAACTATCGCCCTCAGGGAAAATTCAAGGAGTTTGGTCTTTCAAACTATGCATCGTGGGAAGTGTCTGAAATTGCCAGCATCTGTAGACACAACAAATGGATTGTTCCCTCTGTGTATCAGGTATTTCCCATCTCAATTTAATCCCCCATGTTATGTTTCTTTCCTTGTTTAAAATGCTTTCCCCTGAATTTAACCTCTTTGACTATTTTCTGTACCCTAACTTAGACTCTTGAAACCTTTCACAGGGGATGTACAATGCCACTACAAGACAGGTAGAGAGCGAGTTGCTGCCATGTCTGAGATACTATGGAATGAGGTTCTACGCGTACAATCCTCTAGCAGGTGCATTTCTTCCGTCCGTCCTTGCAGTCGCTACTTGAAAAGTAGATACTTATAGTGGAGGATAAATGGTGAAAAGATGAATCCTTGTGATTTTGGCGATCCCCTGAGTTTGACTCTGGCTCCACCATGAGGTTGACAATAGTGGTTTGAGGGAAATGTCTCAACAACTATACTTACTATTGGATTGCAATACGATTTGGTACAGACATCCATGTTGAGGATTAATAGTGATTACTTTGGTGATCCTTTAACTTTTCATCCAGCAACATGTTAGCATACTGACATTAGCGTTTACTGTAGCTCAAAGCGTCACTGTGCCTCAGTCTTCTTTATTGAGTGCATAACTAGTAGAATCCTAGATCATTTTTACTTGAATTCTGACATTACTCCTCTGCAGGTGGCCTTCTGACAGGAAAGTACCATTACCAAGACAGAGATGGTTCCCAGCCTGCGGGACGATTCTTTGGTAACAACTGGGCTTCAGCATACAGGGACAGGTGAACCACCAGCCGTTTGCTTTTGAGATTTTTTTCCAACCACTCGCTTGTTTTAAGTTGTTGCATGTAAAGGATTTCTGCATGTCTGCACTCATGCACATTGTCAAGTGATGAAGCACTGAAAGGAATTGTGCCTGTCCTCTTCTCTTCAGATACTGGAAGCAGAGTCACTTTGAGGCAATAGACTTGGTACTGAAGGCCTTGGAAACGGCGTACGGCTCAGAGAAACCCTCGATGACTTCTGCTGCCATGCGCTGGATGTACCACCACTCCCATCTTAAGGTACTTATTGTGAATTGATCACTGCAGTGGCATGAGATCATGTTTTGTCCTCATCTTCCCACAAGGGCGACTTGCTCAGTGGTAGAGCAGTGTCGTCCTTCAATCATAGGATCGGCGGTTCGATCCCCGGCTCCGCTAGTCCATGTCGGTGTATCCTTGGGCAAGACACTTAACCCCAAGCTGCTCCTGTAGGCTGTCCCTGCAGTGTATGAATGATTAGATAGTCCTGATGGGCATGCTACCTTGCATGGTAGCCCCTGCCATCAGTGTACAAATGACATGTACTGTTAAAGCGCTTTGAGTGCTCGGAAGACTAGGAAAGTGCTATAAAAGTACAAGTTCATTTACATGAGATTAGGAATTTTATCTGTAGGGTTAAATGTAGATATCCTACTTTGCACTATTTTTTTTACTTAAAGGAATTCAACTAATTATGACTAAAATGCTTAGTCATGCAGCAGCATTTAGTCTACATAATTTAAACACTTGTCAGTTCTGTATTAATAATCAGTTAAATAAACTAAGCATTTATGTTCCAACTGCACAAAGCCCACATTCAACCAACTTACTAGCTAATTGTAGAATTATAGGCAGTCATGATTTGTGCATATTAACCATTTGTTAATACCAAAATCCTGGCTTTTTCATCCGATAGTGCCCGGTTAGTTGTTGTATATTTAGCCTCAACACTACAGAGTCGTGGCTGTATTTGGTGCTTACAGTAGCTGGAAAATGTTATACCATCCAACAGTTTGAAATTAAACTTGTAATTTTTCTCTTTGACAACAAATGTCTTCTGTTACAGGGGGATCTTGGTGATGGAGTCATCATTGGCATGTCAAGTATAGAGCAACTTCAGCAAAACCTGGCTGCTGCAGAGGAGGGTCCTCTAGATGAGAGAGTGGTCGCCTCCTTCAACGAGGCCTGGAATCTCGTAGCACACGAGTGTCCAAGCTACTTCCGTTAAAGAGCCAAAATCTGCCGGTTCAATCAAATTTCATCCAAGATAATAGAAAAGAAATCTAATAAAGATATTTCCACTTACGTCCTTTTTTCTAAAATCACACTAGGTTTTATTTTTTATGAATGAATCAATTGAGACCAGTAAATAATGTCAAAAGCACTTCATTGTTAATGTACAAATGTAAAAATGAAAACTTTGAAGATATCTTTCAGGAAAAAAAACATTTACTGCCTTAATTACTTTTAGAATAAAAATTAAACCAATTTTTCTCAGAAACAAAGTGGTTCTTTCACTTAAAATTAGTTTAACACATGAAAATGTGCTCATTTGTTTTGGGTTAATGGCAAAATACTTGCATGCAATACCAACATTGGTATTAGTATACATTTTTTACCAAAACAAGTGGCATCCACATGACTACTGAACAACAACTCAGTCCAAAGCTATATTCATGGTGACGGACAGAAGTTCATGTTTTGGGAGAGAAATGGTACAGAGAAGAGAGATGACAGACTCCAGAGTCAGCACCGGCAGTCAGGGCGACTGGTTTCCACATCAATGTCCCTCTGCTGTTGAAGGCCGGCAAAAACTACTTCTGCCCTTGCAGATGTTTTCATTCTGCATCATCTTTGTCGTCTTCCTCTTCATCATCATCCTGCATGGGCTCTACCTCACCATCAATCTTCTCAAACTCGCCTGTTTCTGAGTTCCACATACATTTGATCTGCACCTTGAATTCTGCCATCTCGACGCCAAAGAGTTTCTACGGAGCCAATTTGAGAAGATCAGTCAGACAAATGCAACACAGTTCTGGATGTCACGGGCAAAATGTTTTGTAGTCAAACAGTCCAGAACTCACCAGAATACGAGCCTGCTCAGGAGTGAGCACATCTCCCTCCTTACAGACTTCATGCTCCTTCAGCAGTGTCACCACGCCTTTAATAACACATGATACAAAACGGGATTATCACATATCCAACTAACTGATATGGACAAAATTATTCCTGTTAAGAGTGCCAATGGTTATTGTTCAGAGAAGAAAGGGGTTGCACTCAAACATGTTTAAAGGATGAGGCTAATACTAGCCAACGCCAGATAAAGCAAATTCCTCTGTGCTATAGATTTCCATTGTTGTCCAAAACTATTAAAAACAGTGAGCCACACTGTTGCAGTGGGGAAGTCAGAAAACAAAGAAATTGACTTTTACATTGTTGATTTTGGTCTTTAAGGGGGATTTGTTGACAAAAGAGATAAATACAATAATGCCAGTCATAACCTGTTATTTTACCTTTCTTGAGAGCAGTAGGAAGTCCTAGTTGTCTCAGCTGGGGCTCCATTGAGTGAGGAAACTGCTCAAGCGGTCCCTCGTCCAGAGTTGTGTTCATCTGTGCAAGGTTGCCTGACCGTGCATAATCCATCTCTTTGAAATGATCAAAATACCTGTGGATAGAGAATATAATTTAGTTAACTATTTAACAATATTTGGAGAATAACTGAAATTGTAGTGCATTAAGTGAAGCACAACTTACTCTTGTACCTCATCCTTTGTTTTATTAGTGAATAGCACTCCCACTTCCCCTCGTAGATACTTGCTGACCTGCACATTATCAAAAGGCAGTAAACAAAATTAAAAAAATCAGTCTTTGCAATAAAATATTACATTTTCTGGCTGATCACCACACTTAAGATCGCACATACCTTGTGCAAATTATCTTTGTATTCGTCTGTTTCTCCTTTACCCAGGGCAACCCCCATTACTTTGTTTTTGCCGAAGAAGAATCTGTGAAAGATGAGAGTTAAGCATCTTTACTAAGACACGTGTTAAATGCATATGTAACAAATGAATAAATGAGCACACAGGTTACCTGCTGTGTTTCCATGCTGTCCGGATATCTTTCAGTTTGTTATTCCTCATATTGGCTACAGAGAATACGAACAAGTGTCTGTACGTGTCCACACATTTCCGAAACTAAAAACACAAACAGATGAAGAGTTTAGAGCGAAACATGTCAGCAGCTTCAGCTAACCCTGGTTAGCATAGCACACAGCGGTGGCAGGACACTCACCTCCTCGATTAATTTCTGTTTTGACTCCAGCCCCTTCTTGGCTGTTTTCGTTAACGAAACTGAGGGAACGATCAGGGGGAAAGCAGGCAATTACCAATGAGCTTGATTAATATCAGCAAGCAGGTAGCTGTTACAACGCAGCATGTTTCCGTTTCCCCCAGGAGGAGAAGCTAATGTTAGCTTGTTCACTAACTTACGTTACTTTTCAGTTGTCGAGCACAAATGTTACATACAATCAACCAGTTAAAAAGCTCAGCCGCTTAACGAGTTTGTCCATATTGTAATTTTACTGTTACTTACTTTTCTTGTCTCTCTTTGACTTCGGCATGGTTTCCTCTCACGATGCTTGAGCAGCAGACGCACACGTGAAGCAAAAGGACCCCAAATGTTTCGGTGTGGTGAAGCCGACCATGTGGTGCCTGACTACAAAAATAAAAGAAGAAGTCAAAATATATGCTGGTATGCATAAATTAACTACTGCTCCCACAAAATAGCATACGAGTCATGTCTAGGTCATGTTAGCTTCATTTATGGTCCTTATTTCTTTATTTTTAAACTGAGTCAACGCAATGACATGCGAAGGGAGCATTACATCACTCTCAAAAATAAAACTGTCTCAGAGATCCTTGTAAAGTGATGTCAGGTGTATTATGGGTGTCTCTGTATGTCCCCTTTTCCATTTTCATTCTACCAAGATATTTTCTATTAGTATTAGAAATATGTCGCAGAGTCACTTGGCAGTCAGGAGTCTCAAGACATGTGCCCCTCTTGCCCTGTGAGTACAGCCTAAGGATTGCATGAAGAGCATCATGAGCATCAAAAAAACTATATAGGCCCACAGTATAATGCCAAGGCCAGCTACATCAATGTACTTGATGTGCTTTATTAATGCAAATTAATGCAAAAAGTTGTACTGCAGCTTCCTTATATTTCTGAGAAAAGTGAAATGCCTGTATGTTTACAGTGTATGACATATACACAGTCTATAGCCTAGATGCACTTATTTATATTTAAGTATATAAAATATAGCCTATCATGTGCAATATATAAACATAACATCTGAAATATTGTTCATTACAAGGCAATTGAAATGTGTCTTCGAAGTAAAAACAGCACACAGGAGTGGACCAATACACACATATGAATATATTATTCCCTAAAACATAGTTATCAAATAGATTATAGAATACACTTAAAAAACAGGCTATTGCTATTATATAGTGAGTCCCTACGTACATTTTGTATGTGTTATTGATGCTTTATATTTTGAGAAATGATTCAGCTGTTAACTGTAGGCTCATACCAAGTTAGAAACCAAAATGCATGAATAATATATGTCCAACTATATGAATTTCATATGCACTCTTGTTCCTCCGGGCTACTTTATCCTATTAACTATAGGCTTATGTTTATACCCTCAGCCAGGACGTGGTCCTCTCGTCGCTGTCAGTGCGCGAGAGAAACGCGCGAGAGAAAAAGGGGGAGGGAGATGGGAGGGGCTGGTGCTGGTGAGAGTGCCGAGTTTAGCACTTTGCAACATGATCCGCGCACACCACGGAGAGGCCGGGCTCTGCGGTCTGCGTCCTGCCATCCCACCGCACCACATGGAGAGACTGGATAGAGCCATCGGGCAATGACAAAGAAAGAAGGTGGACCATCTACATCCGACGGCCCGCTATATGAACCCGCTCAGCATCAGCAGCGACTGACAAAGCAAAGGCAAAGTCAGAGATGAGGGTGACGGGAAGTCCTGCCGGCGGTGCTTATTGCGGTCTGCGTCAAACCTCTCGCTCCTTCAGAAGATAATGCCCTCGGTGCCTCTTAAAGGACTTTCTGGGTTTATTTTTTACCTGCCGCAGTGGTCCATGTCAGTACCTCGGGGTAAACATCCAGCAGGGACAGTGATGGTCACCCCGTCTCCAGCCTCTCAGTCACTCTCAGTATCTGCATTGTGAGGAGAAACTCGTCCTGTGGGAGTGGGCTTGCGAAGCAATATGCACAAATAAAAACAACATATGTTCTTGTCGTTGCGTTAAAAACCAGACAGAGCCATAATTGGATTAACTGGTGTTGTTGTTGTTGTTTGCCAACATGAACTCTCTGTTTTTCTCCGACTCTCCGCCCGGAGCGGTCTGCAATCCGACCGGGTCGGGCGCGGTGACCAGCGCCCTGCGAAACGACCTGGGCTCCAACATCCATGTGCTGAAAGCCCTCAACCTGCGGTTCCGCTGCTTCCTTGCCAAAGTCCACGAGCTGGAGAGGAGGAACAAACTGCTGGAGAGCCAGCTGCAGCAAGCTCAGCTGAAAACGCAGTACCGACACCTATACGCCCGGGAAGTTGCCGTGCAGACGGACGGTCCCGATTCGCGATTGCCGGGAACCATCTGGAGTTTCACCCACGTCCGGAGGCAAGGGGAGCGCTTTGAGACCCTGCGCAGGCCCGGGGTGTCGTGGTCGCATCCGGACGGAGTTGGGGTCCAAATAGACACCATCACCCCAGAGCTGAGGGCTCTGTATAACGTGTTGGCCAAAGTCAAGCGGGAGAGGGACGAGTATAGGAGGAAGTGAGTAAAGGCTGATGTGAAACTAGTGTGAATGTGTTGATACTTTCTCTACAAAGCTGGCAATTTATGTCAGTCTTTATGCCTGGATTCATCCTCATTTACATGACTATATATGATCGTTTGCAGGGGAGTAAGTAATTAAAGGTCCTGAAAGAATGTTGCTGTGGGCCCCCTATTTATATGTGGGCCCTTATCATCACGCCCTTATCGTCATAGGAGCTTCACAAAAATAAGAATGAAAGTGAAAATCAGTGTAAAATATAGACTATCACGTTAAGCCTGTGGGAGTTCTACAACAGGAATATTCAAGTAATTTCTCGTCAAGCCTACATCATAGCACTGCAGTCACTCAACTGCCAGAAGTGGGTTGACTAATTGAAGATGTAACCGTTTATAAGCTGAGACGTTGCTCTAACCCGGTACATTAAATCAAGACATATAATCAATATTGCTCTCTACGATAGGCTCGTTGTTTTTTTTTGCACATTAAATTGTTCACATTAGAGCTGAAAAGACAAGTCGACTGAATTAATCAGCAACTATTCTGATAATCAACTTTTTTTTTTTCCAATGTGATGATTCCCTGCTTTTCACTGGTTCCTCTTTGGGTTGATGGACTGTTGGTTTGGACAAACACCATGGGGGACATGTGAAGACGTCTCCTTGGGCTGCAGGGAAGCCGTGATGGGCATTTTTCACAGATTATGACATTTCGACCAACTCTCAGAAAGATATCTGAGTAGGTTGAGAGATTTAAGCTGCTCTCATCTACCAATCACGATGCGACTTCTTACTTCGTAGTGTGACCTTTTGCTTCCCATGTGGGTGTGGTTCTCCAGTGTCACCAGACACTCATCTGACAGTAAAGTGAGCATGATGACAGACATCACAGTGATGGAGTTATGCTTGAGGTAGTATTTCACATGAAGGATGTCAGAGCTGAGCTCAGCATTTTAACACAGATGTTTTTATCGTGAATTGAACTGATCCTGTTTCTCACAGTCTTCTGAGGAAATTCCTTTGCTTGGCTCAGTCTCCACCAATTGTTCTTCTTTAGTCACATTAATTGTGTTTCCTTGAGGACTGACTGCAGCGTCCCCGGCTGACCCACGTAACTACTGGCCTGCTTGGCTTGGCTACTGGGGGGGCGGGGCGGGGCGGGGAGACATGCCAAGCAACCACCTGCCTCTGTTTGCTGCCATGATTCAAGCCGAGAGGCATTTTAACAGGCCTCTGTCTGCCCGGTGAGGTCGGCAATGACGAAGGCCGACTTCCCTGTGAGTGCACTGACTCAGTGACACAGAATGTGTGTGCTTTCCCACTCCTCTGAACTGGATATCCTGTCCAGTCATTCTCTGTAACACTAGCATATCCTTTTTAGTGCATTTCTGCTTGAGAAGATGGACGGCAGCGTCTGGGATGCCGGCCAAATTAAAAACTGCTGCAGCCCAAGTCAAACATTTTGGATCTTCTTTGGCAAAAAATGGGAGCTGCTGACTTTATAAGTCATTGAAACAGCCGTCTCAGTTGCTTTTTAATTTGGGTTTTAGCAAAATACAAAAAGCTACAGCACTTTGCACACATTCACTCATGAAACCTATATTATGCCTCAAAATAGTGGCAGTTGAGTTGTTGGTAGACTGGTTTTCTACATGTTTTATTCATTGGCATAGGTATTTTGGGTGATATGTGTGTTTACATTTATCTATAATGACACTCACAAGTACTTAAGTGTCAAACATGTTCTTTGTATTCATTTTACGTCCTGAGAAGTGAGGAACAAGACACATCGATAGCCTCTTTTTAATCACCCAGTAATCATGATAAGCAACCTCTTTCCTTTCCTTTTCCTCTCATCTTTCTTCTCTGCTCTGAGCTTAATAATTACATCACTGCTGAGCTCACCTCCCAGTTGTTTTCTCTCCGTCTCCCAGTCTGAATCCTCTTTACTACGTCACGTTTCAGCATTCAATCCCCGAGCCCCGTCCCGCCGTGCCTTTTCTGTTCTGTGCTCTTTGTGTTCGGCCATTCCTTCGCCCTTCACTCCACCCCTCTACAGCCCCTCCACCCTTCCTCTCCTCCCTGTATCGTACAGACTGCTTTGTAAGGCATCTTTGATCCCGACGGAGCCCCCCCCCCTCCCCGTGCTCCCACACTGCCCCAGTGATTTATAGAAGCTTTACGGGCGTAGACACACACAAGGAGATGGATGTCCAGCTGGTCCATATCTGATTTGGTCATTTGTATTCATACCACAATGTACAATGTACTCTTTCTGATCAAGACACTGAGCCTGAGGAAAAACGGTGTGATTGGTCATTCCTTGTCTTTTGTACGTATTCACCTATGAAGTTTAAAGGCTGCTTAAAAGGGTAAAATATAACAGAAAAAGGACAATTAAGAGGCACAATATGGACTATGAATGTGAAAGAACAGGAGCCAGGATGACAAAGGTGTTCTTAAGATGAAACTCATGACATGAATAGCATTAAAGGAAATAACCTTCAATATAAACAAGTGTAAAAGCAACATACTGGTGTCATTTAAGAAAGTACTTCAGAACTATTCTGTGTATCAACTTTTTTTTTAACAAAAGTTACAAAATCCTGTTTGATTACGTTTTACAGATTTACTTTTATTTGGTTACGTTGTTTTTTTTTTGTAACTTTTCGATTTGTCTTAAAATTGGAAAATGTGCAATTTTTGTCTTATCGAGAAATATGCAGATTCAGATTTAATTATATTGTCACTAAATAGTTCAAAGGTTTGAGCATGCTGTTGATTTCCACTCATATATTTCCTCATCTATCTTCAGGTAATAGT